ATCAGCTGAGCGCGCTCTCCGGAGAGGCGCGCTGCCATGGTGACCGAGTCCAGCTCCAGCCTGAGAGAAGAGATCCTCTGCACGGGGGCGAGTTTGCTCTTTTCTCGGTTGACCTGAAACCCCCACAGGTGGAAGTGCCAGAGCACTTTGTCTCTGTGCATAATCAACTGCTCCGAGAGAGGGCAAAAATCAGCCAGTCGTAAAGAAATTGAGTATGCAGATGCCCGCGAGCCGAAGGGGCGCTGAGGCACCCTCCGCGGGCTTGGTGAGGACCCGCGGAGACAGAGAGAGCCCGAAGGGGAGGGCTTTGTATTGCCAAGCTCGACCTTCAAACGCAAACCGCAGAAACTGTCGGTGGCGAGGAAGAGTGGAGACATGGAAATACGCGTCCATCAGGTCTAATGCTGCAGACCAACCCAGAGGACGAACGCACCGGAGGATGCGCTTCTGCGTGAGCATTCTGAACGGCAGCTTGTGCAGGCAGCGGTTCAAAACGCGCAGATCTAGGATTGGCCGTGACCCACCGCTCTTTTTGGGCACGATGAAGCGTGGGCTGTAAAACCCGCTCTCCATCTCGGCTGGAGGGAGCGGCTCGATTGCATCCTTCGCCAGGAGGACAGCAATCTCCTCTCGCAAGACAGGGGCGGACAGGGGGCTGACCCTGGTGAATACACACCCGTGACTGGGGGGCCGTTTCGCGAACTGAATCGCATAGCCGAGTCTGATTGTGCGTATGAGCCACCGCGAAGAGCTGGCCCGCGCTAACCAGGCAGGCAGAGCTCTCGCTAATGGACTCATCGCTACAATCGCTGACGTACCAGCAGTGGGGCAGCGCGGAGTGGGTATGCTGATCCGGGAAGCTCGCGGGTCCCACGGAAAAGCTGGAGGTGAGATATTTGCTCTCACTCCAAACCCGAGCTCCGGAGGGGAGGCTCGAGGGGTGGGAGAAAGGAGACCGTCCTCCCAGCGCTCGTGAGCCACTGGCGAAACGCACCGAATCTGCAAGCTAGAAAGCATAGCGTCCCAGACTGGCAGATTTCGGGCTGTCACATCTGGGGAAGTGAAAAGTGCCCTTTCATAATGTTTTCATGGCAGTAAAAAGTGCCGTTGGAAATGGGGCCCCGCCCTCCAGCGGGGAAAGAGCAAGTTCCCTTTTCTCCAGATGGCCTGTCCCAGGGGCGCTTCGCGGTCCGTTGCCGGACTTAGCGGCGTTCTGGGCAGGGGGGCTGCCTGCTTCCGAGGTGCCCGACGCGCTCGCTTCGCCGGAGGCGTGTGCGGGGGCGGAGCAGCTCTCGTAGGCGGGCGCCTTCGGCGAGGAGCAGGTATGAATGGCACGGCGGGCGGAGCGGGCTACGGACCGCCGATAAGACATCACCCACCAACTGCTCTCTCACCGCCTTGAATTCCTGGGTGAATTCACAGACAGTGTCGCCGAACCTGGCTGGGGATATGGGGAAGTCAAGAAAGCGGACTTTGTCGACTTTGCGCATATCAGCCAGGGGTGGCGCTCCTGGACCACTAATGTGGACATCGTCCTCCCCAACGCACACGCAGCGGACTCAGTAGTCCGAAGAGCTAAGTCGGCGGCGGTGCGAAGCTCGTAAGCCTGGGTTGGACCCACCCTCGTGCTGCTCGGCCAGCGCCTGCGCTTGGTAGCGCTGGTAGGTGGCTATCGCATGCAAGGCGGAAGCAGCCTGGCCCGCAGCTATGTAAGCTCTAGCTCCGAGGGAGGTAGATAACTTACAGGCTTTGGATGGGAGACGAGGCGGACCCCGCCAAGAAGAGGCGCCGCGCGGATTTACCGCCATCGCGCACTCAACCTGAGGAATCGCCACATACCCCCTGGCTGTTTCACCGTCAAGAGTGGTTAGGGTGGAGGAACACGCAGCACGAGCAGAAAAAAGTGCTTTACAAGACCGCGTGAGCCTACTGTGCACCTCCGGGAAGAAGGGAACGCCCCTCTAGTCGGTCCGGCCGCGGAGCTGGGGGATAAACCATCTCCAACCCACGGCCGAAGCAGCCCGGGAAAGCACGGCTAACATGTCCGTTTCAGGATCCGTAATGACAGCGCTCACCAGCCCGAAGGGGGCGAGCGGGTCTGGATCATCATCGGACAATGAAAGCCCACCCTCCGATGCCGCGGTGGACATCTGGTCTCCGGTGTCATCGGGCGTAAGGGCTACCATCTGTTAGACGGATCGCTTCCCCCGCCCGAAGCTTGGATGGAGCGCTTAGAGGAGCGGGAGGTCCGCGGGCCCGTGGGCAACGGATTATCTCTCGCTGAAACCCTCAAATCTGCCCGAGTGCCCGCTGCAGAGCAGGGGACAACTGGGGTGGTTCGCCCTTTTGCAAAGGCTAACCGCGATCTTGCGCAACAGTCATGGCATCGCAATGACGACATGAACTGCCCGCGAGCAGCGCATTAACATGCTGGACCCCCAGACATGTAACACAGTGCCCGCGCCCATCATCCGAGGACAGGAAACCACCGCATCCAGAAACGCACAGTCGGAGCGCCGTCCTGATAAGGACGTGCTGCACGACTGTGTTGCTCTTTCTGTGAAGTTTGCAACTTTATACGCACCGCTCTGGAGGACCGGACCCAAAGAACGCCAGGCAAGGGAGAAACCCAGCTCGACCGTCTGCCACTGCGTGTACACACTCTGGACCGGGAGAATGCTCTCGTTCGCTCAGAATCGCTGGTCACAGCAGGAGGAACCCTCATCGACTCGATCAGAAAGTCTCTGAAGCGAAAAGGATAGCGTCTGCTGCGCCAGGTGAGCTTATATACTCAGTTGATTGCTTATGCCGCTCACCTGCGCAGGCTTGCGCTGCCAATTCATTCTTAATTGGCCCGTTCAATACTCTTTCAGACGAGTAGCTTCTGAACCGAACCTCCCAATGCGTGGATTTTACAATCAAATCCACTTATAGTGCTGAAGTTCCCCCCGAAGGGGAACATTCAATTTCATGTTAATAGCCCTAAATAATAGCTATATTTAAAAAGTATATTGCTAGAAATGTAGCCTATTGAACAATCTGCAGTTTCGCGGCTCACTCGCTGTGAACAGCTATGTCTAATTTTAGAGCTCTTTCAGTTCTTGAAGTTGCTATGGTAGCAAACAACATCATCAATGTATCTATGCTCGACTTTTCAGGTTTCACGACAGAAACGTGCACGAGCAGTTATCTAGATTATTTAAACTAAACTCAGACAAGTCAGATCAAATGACCTTCAACTTGCTGTTATGGAACCAATTTAAGCGTGGACGTTTAGTTCGGCTCATCGAAGTCAGGCTATTGACTTTAATCCCCGCTTTTCTTAACCACCTTTATGAAATAGCCCCCTGGATCCTCGTATGCATTTGTAAAGTGGTGCATGACAGAATAAAAGGTCGCCTAGATTTATGTATTGTACATCTAAATTGTTATAGCTAGCTTTTATTTGTTTTATACTGGTTTATTTATTTAATGTGATTTTCTTATATCTGATATTTGTGCTTCTTTAAATTATTTCAATATATTTTAGGCTATTTTATCACTTGTTTTGAGCTTTTAAAAGTGGACACATAATTTATAAAGTTTTATGTCTTTCTGTTGTATTTATATTTTGTATTATCTCTTAAATAAAGAAAAAAGCTGCTTGCGTGAAGCTGTGAAGGGAGTGCTCTTTTGCCCAGTCTCACATTCACATACAGGCATCTAAAAGCACGCACATATCATGCACAAACACATCTTTTAAACTTGACAAAAACTCTCAACAACCTTTCCTGGCTGCTGTGTCTTTTATATGGTATAAAGATTATTGTGCATTACAGAAACATTAAGGAGGAAGCAGCAAAGAAAAGCCACTTATAAATTTAAATTTTATTATTTTATGCAACACCCTTACATTTTAAAAGACCCGCAGCCTATGAGGCTATACATTTTCTTTTCCTTATTTATTTATTTTGAAGCATGCACTCATGTGCTATTGGGAAAACTAGTGTAATGACGGCATACCATCTTTACCAGACTCGGGGCAAAGCCCGCCTCTCCTTTCACTCTGCCTCAAAGCCCCAGCTGGCCCTCTTTGGCCCAAGGTATTCCGCAGGCCAAAAAAGGCCGGCCGCTGCCCCCAAGAAAGCCCCGCTTCAGCCCGATCAGGCCGCGAAAGTGGCAGTGGAAACGCGACTGGCCTTGGCTAGCTCGCTTTAGGCGCGATAGTTGAAACAACCAAGCACATGTGGTCAGAACACAAACAAGACAAACACAAATGAGTCACCGGTAATAAACTATTAAACGTTCTCCCAAAGTAAAGTCTGTCAGTGTTAAGAAACCTATGGGTGACGTCACTTGTACTACATCCATATGTTTTACAATCTTTGGTGTAAAAAAACAAACTAAGGTTTACAGTCTATGTTGTACCTGCAGGCCAGCGTTAGGGTAAAAGTTAAAAGCGCTGTTTATTTGGACCCAAGAAATGGGGAAAAAAATTGTGGAAATTTGACAGGAGCACCCATGTCTGTATGACGTGTCATACAGAAAGTCAAAAAAGGAAAGTTGAGAAGAAATTTCTAGTTTTCTTGCATGGCAATACACTGACCTTTGTCAGTTGACCAAGGACATGCTGTTCAACGAAAACTCTATATTTTTCAATTAAACTGATTATACTGATAAAACATTTTTTGAGCTGATAACATTTCTAAGAAGACTTTGTTGGTGTAAAAGGTGATTTCCTGTTTCCAGCTGGTGGCACAATCACTGTAACTGGGTATTGGCCTGCAAACCTGTTCAGGTAAGGACTTATCAAATGTGTGGATTTTGAGGCAGATCAGACAATGCATGCCTGAGTTATAACAACTTCTTGTTTTGTGGTGAAACATCAATGTTTTTGAGGCTGCCAATAGGGCCTACGCACTGCCCATGCTCGGTCCATAATAATGATAATAAATAGTAAATAAAGCAATTCCAATAGGGCCTACAATGACAACATAAACCAAAATATTCCTTTAGCTCACCAAGAGATTTGAAGAGTTCTGTCCCTGCATATTTGCCATCAAAGAATACTGTGTTGTTTGCTGTGTTAAACATCCGAGTCATCCGGACCAGAACCACTTCCATGGACCCTAATGACAACAACACAAAAGCACACAGAAAGAAAGGAGAGAATACAATAAAAATAATTATAGAAAGAAGGATTAGAATAAGGAGACATTCTCATAAGATTTAAAAGGAGACAAAGCCAGGAAAGTAACAAGATTTTAATTAAATATAGAAACAGGACAGTAGTAACAGAAGTAACATTATCAGTCTTTAATTTATTGACATATATGCCTCACCACTCTTGAGGAGAGCAATTTGATCATTCTGACAAAGCTGGCGGAACCCTGGGATACGTTTAGCAAATTCCACCACATACTGAACGGCATCTGACAAACGTACAGCACAGTACTGCCACATCTCATCCACTGGCTACAGAGAGAGGAGAGAAAAAAATTGAAAAGAGACCAAATCAAAACTTAGATTCAATTTTTTTTAAGTCATTACTTTATATGTAACATAATTGTCATTTAATTTCTTGTATTTGTGACTTCATGCCAGATAATTTAACAGTAAATTGTATGTCTAAGAAATGTATGTACCATACTTGAAACTTTTTTACAATTGATCTTCCTGCAGAAAAACAAATATGTGACTAATATTGCAGTTTTTCACATGGTTCTCACAGTTAAGAACAAAGTGTAATGTATACATGAAGTCTGACCTTTCTAACTGCACATAATGTATGAGCTTAAGTTGCTTATGTGCAATGAATGTTTTGTTTTGATAGTTTGTCCTCTAGGTGGCAACATTGTTTGAAGAAGAACAAATATTCCTCATTGGGCATAGCATCAATTATTTATTTCTCATTAGAAATTGAGCATAGCCCACTTGGAAAAACACACATATACATAGAATATAAAATTGGCGTAGTTCTAAAATAATAAACAACATGTACTTTGCTCTGGTATATGTGGACCTCCTCCCTGCTGAAAACCTTCCATCTGAGAGCCTGCAGTTCTTCCAGTCGATACTGAGTGGTCTCTTTATGTGAGCGTATAATACTTGCAGCAAGCTCCTCTATCAAAAACCACACAAAAACAAATATGTTATTTTGAATGCTTAACAGTCCAATCCTTCATTTAAGGGTGATGCATTTATTATGCATTAATTAAGCTTAGGTAAACTTGTAAATCATGATTAACTTGTTCACAATTATGCATCAGTTAAGCATGAGCAAACACATAATTTATGATTAACTGAACATAAAGTAAAGGCTTTTTTTCTCTTTTTGCAGACCAATTTCCATACAGGAGATTGAGAAGTTTGTTATCCAGACATGTTGTTCTTCAAACTATTTTGTCCTGTTGAAAAAAAATAATAACTTCCTATTATCTAGCGCACAATTTTTGATACATCCATTCATCCAACTGCAGAACGTCATCTACAGTCCTGGGGCCTCATGTATCAACGCTGCGTACACACAAAAACTTTGCGTACCCCAGGGGCCTGTTTCAGTAAAGAGGTTCAACCAACTTGAAGTTTAAACTTGAACTCTGAGTTGATTTACCGAGAGATTAAAAACTGAGTTTTCGGTTTCAGAACACCAGATCTGAGTTAGGTCAATCAAGTTAAGCGTGCGCATCGTGACTATAAATAGGCCTTATCAATGGAGCGTATATATTACAAGTGACTATGGCAACATCTTAAAAAAAAGATCACCATTTTTTTCTCCAGCTGAATTTGATCTGCTCATGCATAGTTATAGCAAATATGAAAATATATTTTAAAAAGCTACACCACTGCATCCGTGAAACAGAGACAGTTAGAATGGGAAAACATAGCTGCTTAAGTTAATGCATGATTTTACATTTAAAGTATTTAAATATTTAAGTTGAATAAAATAAGTAATGTCATGTGTGTCATTTATAAAATCTTTACACACGTTCCCACTTTTATACATATGGATCAGTTTTAATAGATTTAAAAGTACACTTGTGTGTCTGCCTTTTTTATTGATCAAGTGATAGAGGTTGATATGACATTTAGAATGTAAGCAGAACTAAAAATAGTTTTTAGAAAGAACAATAATTCTAATTAATTTAGGCTACTTGTCCCTGCTGAAGGTCAGTGAATTTAATCTTTATTTATTAAAAAGGACAAGCCATTCTCATTTGTTCTTTGTGTGACTGTAATGTAGGTAATAGCTATATTTCCATCCAATAATAATATTAAATTTATGTGCAAAACTGGAATATTGCAAAAAAAATATATATGTGGGAACAAAGCAAAGTTTCCATCCAACGATTGAAAGAGAACAAAATCTTCACTTCCTGATTAACTGGCACCAAATATCAACAGTAAAAGCAAAATTTACTGCGGTAGAAGAAGCTGCGGCACCGTCAATCTTTTCTATATTTAATAAATCTACTTGCTTCTCAGAAGACAATGCTGACACGTAATGAACACGTGGGGGCGTTTGAAGCCATGAGACACGGAGAACAGAAGCTCCTGACATGCTACAGACGCTCTGGAGGTCATTAACAATGTAATATCATTAATTCTGAAACGGTTAAGGATTTTTGCAAAAAAAAACAAACATTGTATGTGCAAAACAACATTTAAGATGTGTTATAGTGTGCTCAGCCTGCTAGTTTGTCTATTCACACACATTTTCATCATCAAAAAGAACCTTTTTTAATGCACATACTGTAATTTGTTCTTTGCTAATAAAAGTTTATCCCACTCAGTTATGCACGTTTTTTTATGTGTATTTTCCAAAGTTATTAACAACAGTCCCATGTTTCTTCACTCTACCTAGTAATCTAGTAATCACTCTACCTTTCATAGCCTCTTCTGATAAATTATGGGAACTATGAATTTTTACTAGCTCTTTTGCAATCATCTCTGCTTTTTCCTCTTCAGACACTGCTATTTCCTCATCTTTTTTCATGACTTTATACTGATATTCTTTTTTAATTCCTCTCATTCTTTTAATCATATACCCTTATTTCTCCTACTGGGGTTGTTTTTCCTGTTTTTATTACAGTAATTATTCCAACCTTGTTTCATGGCGTGATCTTCCTAACCTTTCCTTGAGCTTTTTTATATTCAATAAAATTTTTAAGTTATGTGTTCTTCTTAACATTCTCAATGCTTTATTCCTTTCTTTCACTGCTTTGGAACATTCTTCTGTCCACCAAGGAACAGCTTTCGGTAACGCTTTCTTTTACAACCCGCAAAGTACCGCGTAAGTACAGTGAAACTACATTGTACTTTTCTGTACGTACTGTGTAAGTATAATGAACGTATGTGTAGGTATAAGGGAACAAACCGTAATGCTTGGGTAATAAGGGGGTAACAACCAGATGTTCATCACGAAAATTACCGCGTAAGTATAGTGAAATAACGGTGTACTTTTCTGTACGTATAGTGTAAGTATAAATAACGCTTACTTAGGTATAAGGGAACAAACTGTAATGCTTGGGTAATAAGGGGGTAACAACCAGATATTCAGCATGAAAAGTACCGCGTAAGTACAGTGAAATAACAGTGTACTTTTCTTTAAATTGCAAAAGAACAAACCATAATGTATGCGTAATAGGGGAGTAACAATAACATATTCATCAAGCAAAGATCCGCGTAAGTATATTACGTTGACGATGTACTTTTCTTCAATTATTGTATACATATGAAGAATTATGCAAGGATGGTGACAACCTATTGCTATCTGCAAATGTACTGTACATGCACCTGCGTGAGTACATTAGTACTCTTATTCAGTGCTTGGGTTTTATACGGGGTGTTTAATGAATAAAAGGTTTACAACCTGTGAAATTATGAACCCTTATTGTATACTGTTTGCATTTTAAATCTGCAATTCAATATAAAATATATTTCCACACACTACTTACCTTATGTTTACTCGTCGATCTCACCAAAGCCATCAATGTCTCCATAACTCACTATCAACAAATAACTTTGCATGATATAGGCCTACCGTCAGGGTTCAATGTAGATTAAAACAGGATCGCATATTTATTGCTGTTTGCACAGGGGGGCTAACTGTTGCATTTCAGTAAATGTATAGCTGATGCTTTATAGAAAAATGTAGTAATTTGGTCTTCAATCAATAAAAACTGCTGCTGTAGTTTACTCTGTTCTTAGTGTTCACGTATACACTAGTGTGTTAAAGTTCAGCTTCTTTCTCTGTTCCCTGTAGTTAAAGGGTGAATACAGTATTTGTTCCCTCCTTGTTCCCTGTACTTACAGGGTAAATACCACATTTGAGGGTTGTAAATTAAAGTGAAGCACTGTTCCTCCCTTGTTACCTGTACTTACAGGGTAAATACCACATTTGAGGGTTGTAAATTAAAGTGAAGCACTGTTCCTCCCTTGTTACCTGTACTTACAGGGTTAATACCACATTTGAGGGTTGTAAATTAAAGTGAAGCATTGTTGCTCCCTTGTTCCCTGTACTTACAGGGTAAATACCACATTTGAGGGTTGTAAATTAAAGTGAAGCATTGTTCCTCCCTTGTTACCCCCTTGTTCCCTGTACTTACAGGGTAAATACCACATTTGAGGGTTGTAAATTAAAGTGAAGCATTGTTCCTCACTTGTTACCCCCTTGTTCCCTGTACTTACAGGGTAAATACCACATTTGAGGGTTGTAAATTAAAGTGAAGCATTGTTGCTCCCTTGTTCCCTGTACTTACAGGGTAAATACCACATTTGAGGGTTGTAAATTAAAGTGAAGCATTGTTCCTCCCTTGTTACCCCCTTGTTCCCTGTACTTAAAGGGTAAATACCACATTTGAGGGTTGTAAATTAAAGTGAAGCATTGTTCCTCCCTTGTTACCCCCTTGTTCCCTTTACTTACAGGGTAAATACCACATTTGAGGGTTGTAAATTAAAGTGAAGCACTGTTCCTCCCTTGTTACCTGTATTTAAAGGGTAAATACAACATTTGTTCCCCCCTTGTTCCCTTTAGTTTACAATGTAAAATCCTGAAGGCAGTAAAATAAATATACAAACACACAATATATTTCTTCTTTACTTTGTAACCTTTATTTTAATAAATAAGCATTTTAAAACACTTCATCTTAATCAAACATTGTCTTGTCTATCATTGCCTATACTCATTCATTTTCTCTTCGGCTTTGTCCTTTTGTTAATCTGGGGTTGCCACAGTGGAATGAACCACCAACTTATCCAGCATATGTTTTACGCAGTGGATGCCCTTCCAGCTGCAACCCATCTCTGGGAAACATCCATACACACCCATTCACATGCATACACTACAGACAATTTAGTCTACCCAATTCACCTGTACTGCATGTCTTTGGACTGTGAGGGAAACCGGAGCACCCCGAGGAAACCGACGCGAACGCAGGAAGAACTCCACGCAGAAACACCAACTGACCCAGCCGAGGCTCAAACCAACAACCTTCTTGCTGTGAGGAAACAGCACTACCTACTGTGCCACTGTGTTGCCACCCAGCTGCAACCCATCACTGGGAAACATCCATACACACTCATTTACACACATACACTACGGACAATTTTAGCTTACCCAATGTCACCACATATTTTTGGACTTGTGGGAGCACCCGGATGAAACCCACGCTAACATTGGGAGAACATGCAAACTCCACACAGAAATGCCAACTGACCCAGCCGAGGCTCGAACCAGCGACCTTCTTGCTGTGAGGCGATTGTGCTACCCACTGCACCTGCCTATACTCAGACAGCAAAATAACAAAATATTTCATTCCCCCTTTTTTCTGGCATCTCTTGCTTGGCTTCCTCTTCTGCTCTTCTCAGCTTCCACTGAGGACTCTGATGGTGAGTGGCTGATGAAATCCCATGGGTCTTGCTGCTCTGCATTTATATAAAATATATGCACAGACATAAAGGCTTTTAGTAAGCTGTAGACATGTTTATTTTGCTGTTTTATGTGTGTGTGGTGGTTGTCCAACAATTTCACATACTAAATATTTACAGATACCATACAGACACATTACTATATACTATATACATTACTATATATAATGTATATATACATTACTATCAAACAA